CGCGGCCCGGGGCCCTGGCAGCCGGCGCCACGTCAAGGTTTGTTTAATAATCGCGGGTATTTCTGGCTGGCTCCGGCCGGGCGGCGGAGCCGGAGCGCACGGCGGGCGGCGCAGGAGGCGCGGCCCAGGGCCCAGGCGGCCTCCCCTAGGCTTCCCGAAGGCTGCGCGGTCCGCCGCCCGGGGGAGGATGGAGGCGGCAGCTGCGCTGTGAGCCCGGCGATCCTCCGGCCGCGCCCCCTCCAGGTCTCCATCTCCGGGAGCAGGGAGCGCGGAAGAGCGAGCCATGGCGGAAAACCTGCGGAGGCTGGCCTCAAACGAGGCTTTACGACTGTTGCAGGAAAAGCTAGAGTCTTGGGTCAAGGAGTACAGCGTGAGTCGGGCAGTGGGGCGGCGGGGCGGCGGGGGCGGCGGGGCGGAGGGGCGGCGGGGCGGCATGAGCCGCGGAGTTGCTTGGGGCTGGCGACTGGGAGGCCACTTTGCACAGCCCGGACACCGGTGGGACCATAGGCCTCCGCCCGGGATCTCGGAAGGACAGCACGTGTCTGCCGGCGTCCTTTGGCAGAGCTGGGAGAGCGGTAACCAAGGACGCCGGCTGCCCTAGCGACCGGAAAGGCCAGGTATAGGCCCGCCTGCTGCTTCCCGCACCTGGCCTGCCAGGCAATCCACATGGCCTCCCTCCCCAAGTATTATTATTAAATAATAATATGATTATATATTGTTATTACTATGTTACACCCATACTCGTGTTTCTGAAGAAACCCAGGGGTGTGTCACAATGCATTTTTATAAACATACACCCGAGGAGTTATTACCCAGAAGTCAGTGAAAATGAACACTTGTTAGCATTGTTCTTTTTTCTGTGTGCTGGTCAGTCAACACTGCTATGAAAAGTTTTAACACCAAGACGGGTTTCAGACGGCCTGTTGTCAAGGTTTTTGTAAGAAGTCAATACCCTATCATTAAACTCAGATCTCATTCCTGTCCTCTGCACTGGCCCTCTGGAATATCACCTTGTTCGTAGAAAGTAGAATTTCTGTTGGAATTTCCCTGAAATTTAGTCTGTCTACCTTGAATATAAATGAGGTTCTTGCTCTTAATATCAGAGACATCGGGTAGAAAGAGATGTGAACTGGAAATCAAACCCCCTCCCTGGGTCCTCATTTGGAGAAGTTTGCCTAACTTTGCCGATCTGTTCAGTAAGAGGGCTGGACTAGGTGATATGTAAAGTTCCTTTCTGGATCTCAAGTTTTGGGAATGGATCAGCTTGTTTCTGAGCTCATCTATCGTGAGTTCCTTGGTCTTCCCTTAACCAGGGCACCTTCAAAGAACAGGAAGGCCTTTTTCCTTAGGTTTTCTTCCAGTGTCTAGTGGTCCTTCCTTTGTAACTCTGTGGTAGAGCACTTGCCTCTCCTGTGTGAGGTCCTGGATTTGACTCCTAGCACTGCAAAGAAAAAACAACAGGAAAATTAAACATCACTTCTCTATGATACAGACTTGAATTTTTTTCCGCCACTTTTAAAAATATATCTGTTGCAGGGTGGGGTGTGTGTAGCTCAGGGGCATAAGGGCCTGCTTGGCAAGTATAAGGTCCCAAGTTTGATTCCTAGTAATATCTATAATATGTATTATAACATATAATAACATGACATATATAAGTGTAATATATAGGATATATATCCTAGTATCAGAGTTTGATTCCCTGTTTACTACCTACTATCAGAAGGTTGAGAACAATAATACATGTATTTATCTTTTTTAAAAAAATTGTCCTATGACTTAACTGAATTCTGCATTTTAAAAAGAGTTTAATATAAATGGCACCAGCATTAGCTGGAACAAATAAAATGGTTCTCTTAGAACCACCCTACAAGCACCAGCTGTCCTTTATTATTTCCTATTTTGGTTGTGTCCTGTTTCTCTGTTCTCACTGATGGCTTTGCCCTTCACCACTCTGCAAGGATCAAGACTTTCTCGCACCCTGTGGGTGTTCCCCAGCCTCTATCCTTTCTCTCACCCTCTCCTCCTGCTTGGTCTCTTCCCATGTGCTTGTGAATCCCCTATCTGTGTTCGGGGACTGTTCTCTGAGCTCTCCTTTGGCTGCCCACTGGACTTTTTTAATAGTGAGTACTGTTGTCATCTCTAAGTCAAATCAGTCTAAAAGTTACTTTTAGACTATGTTTATCCTATATCCCATCACATACCCCCTTCCTCGTTTCATGTCTTCATGATATATTTCACATCTGTCTTATCAACATAGTTGCACCCTCAAAATTCATGTAGAATCTCAGTGCTTCTTTCCACTTCCATTGCTACTACCCCTGTCTACCTTTGACCATCTGTCACCTTCATTATTACAAAAATAATTCAAAGTAACTTCTAAATATCAAGGCAGAACAAGCTACTCTTCTGGAAAAACCCACCAAATTCCTTCAGTGGCCTTCAAAAGCCAACAGAATTATGCCCCACCAACCTGTCTGTCTCGTCCCTTATTTCACCTTCATGCAGTCCACTCTGGGAATAGTGGGCCTCTTGCTCCTTGCAGAGCAACGCTGTGCTGTCCAGCAGGACTGGCCTTGATGATGAGCAGGTTCTGCATTTGTCCTGTCCCATATAGTAGCTGTTGGGCGCTTGAGATGTGCCACATGTCCATGGTGGAACTGAAGTTTTAAATCCACTTAAGTTCTAGTTAAGTGCAATTTAAGTTTAACTAGTCACATGTGGCTGCTGGTGAGGACAGCACATTTCTAGAGCATGGAGAAATGCTCCTGCCTCGGAGTGTTTGTCCTGCTGATTCCTCTGTCCGGAGCCCATTTCACCAGTGGGTATTCGAGTGCGATATCAACATCCCCACCTTCTCATCTCCTTAAAAATCACTGCATGATGTCACCTTCTCTGAGAGGCTGCTTGATCGTCCTGTTACAGTATCATTTCCTAGCCTCCTGCCTGGAACTCAGGCTCTTGGGTTTTTTTTTTTTTTTCCCATGATAACTCCATTTCCTAAGTTTTACTTATTCACCCATTTATTTTACCACCCATCTCTCCGCTGCCTCCTAGGATGTAAATTCCCACAACAGAGAATCCTGCCTTATTTTGCTCACTGCTATATTCCCAGCACTGGCAACAATGCTCGGCACCTAATAGTTACTCAGAAAATATTAAATGACCAAATAAATGCCAGACAGTTTATTGGACTCATTTTCCTTCTTAAAACCTCACATCCTGGGTAAAATTAAAAATAATCCCCAAATATCTTTAGTTCAGCCTTTGTTAAAGTTGAATTAAAACCAGAAATACAATTTTCAATTAACAGCACGAATGAGATGGTTCAAGTATTTTTTTTTAATAATTTTTATTTATTTATTTATGTGTGTGTGTGTGTGTGTGTGTGTGGCCAGCTCAGCCCACCAGGGGGCGGGGCTGGTTGGCATGTGGTGCTGGGGGATTGAACCGTGGTCCCTGTGCTTTGCTAAGCTTGTTCTAAGTAGGTGCTTTAGACCACTGAGCCATCTCACCAGCCTGGTTCAAGTATTTTTTAACCATCAGTCTTTGGGTAGCTAAAGCAAAAAGATGAAAAAATATTGATATATCACTACCTAGTGTACACTTTAAGTTGTACATAAACTTACTTTGTACTTTGTTATCTATAGTTTGGATTTTTGGTCATTTACCGAGCACTTTCCTCTAACATTGCAAAGGTGTTTTATGAGTACCAGGGACATCTGACTTAAACATTAAGCTGAAAAATATTCATTGTAGCAAACTATGTTAGCTAAGATATTGCTTCTATTTAATTTTTTTTTTTTTCCGGCGGAACTGGGGATTGAACTCAGGCCCTTGAGCTTGCCAGAGAAGCACTTGTTCTACTAAGCCATCTCCCCGGCCCCAGATACTGCTTCTAGAGAACTATGTTTATTAGTATGTGTAAATTATGCTTGCAATGAAAGATTGATTTTGTTGACGGTGACCACATTGACTTAGTTCTAATTAAATTGAGCAAAATAAAAGGTCACAGATATCCCTTTAGAATTTAGGGGCATGATTAAAATCATTACCTTGGGAAAAATTATTTTCAAGGAAAAAAAACGATGTAGGTTAGTTCTAAAACCGTGCAAAGCTTTGATTTTTCTTTGCAGTAGCTATTACTTAGACTAACTGAACCTATTTAATTTTTCTTTTAACTGGTGTAGTGGTACTCACCTGTAATCCCAGTGCTTGGGAGGCAGAGACAGTTGGATTGCCCCCAGGTTTGAGGCCATAGTGAGCTTATGACCAGTCTGAACTGTATAAAATTTTTTTGTAAATTCCTGTCTCAAAAAATTTTGTAAAAATTTTTAAAATCTCCTTCATATACATGTAATTTTTAAAAAATCTCTTGTCATCTCCACTTTAATCTGGCCATCAGCAGCATCTCAGGTGCAGCCTCTTATCTGCACTTTAGGGTCTATTTCATCATATCCTGCACAGTGATTTCCCCTTATCTGCTCTTTCTCTGTTCTTTGTTTCAGATACTTGTGATCCATAGTTGAATAATCATAAGGATAAGGATTCCTAAGCTTTAAATTATATTCCATTCTGAGTAGCCTGATGAAGCCGCACTCCATTCAGCTAGCTCAGTCCCACTGGGGACAGGAACAGTCTCTCTAGAAGTATGCGTGCTGTGTATGCTGCCCACCTGCTAGTCACTTTGTAACTGCTTTGAATACTGGACTGACTGTTGTTGTATTGCCCTGCTTACATTCAATTTTGCTTAATGAAGCGCCAAAGAATGAGAAAAATGAAGCAAAGAAAACATTAGGACGTGGAGGCAGATGAACTCTTTGCAGGGCAGTGGGTCATGTAGGACTTAAAAACATGGCACAATATAGTTTGTGTGGGTCTAGCACTGTTCATAGTTTTAGACATCAACTGGGGGTCTAGAAATGTATCCCTTATGGCCAAGAGGGCAGTGTCTTATATGTGATGAGAGAGTAAATTCATTAAAAATCTAATTTTCTAACCCCAAAGACTTAAAACCCTTTTTGGCTTGCTTTTAATTTTAAAACATTCAGCAGACTTCTGGGCCCTAGGAAAAGTTATTTCTTGATTTTTAAAAAAAATTACAACAGGGATATATTTCTACTCCCTCCCCGATGGGGGGGACAGATGCTGAAATTGGAAGCAAACATTGCCAACTCATTAACTTTTAGTCATGACAGAGATATGGAATTGGTGTAAATCTCCACCTGAGTGTTGATGAGGACTGTGACGATAAAACTTGGCTTCCTCTGGAAGTTTAGGGATAGCTTGGACACACAACTTCAGAAATTGTTTTGCCCCCGTGATTAAGAATGTTGTTGAGAGAACCAGAGGGAACCCCATCCTGTTCACTCA